AAATTAATATATATATTACACGTGAAATGATCACATGACACAAAAGATTTACATACGTCTTTGACGATTTCCTTTGATTAGAACAGAAGATGAAGGTAAAGATTCACAAAGATCATTTCGTAATTTTTGTAAAGAAGATTTTGATCTTGAAGAGTCACAATTACCAACGATATTAGTATCCCAATCTTCATCATCTTCTTCTTGTAAGGTATCAACAGGTATAGAATTAAATGTATCGTTTATAATAGATTTATCCCAAATTTTAGGTAAATTTCTAAGAGAATCTAATTCAGGAATTGTTTTACGACCAATTGTACCAAATGTACAAATACTTGTAGAATCTGAATAAATAGATGAAGTATCATCATCTACTATATAATTAAGATGAACCATAATAGGATGAACAGTGGTTGGTGATTTAATAGTTTTTAAAAAGTTATTATTTTTATTTTTTATATTTTTTGAATAAAATAATTTAAATCGTTCAATCGGATTTTTAGACTTATTTAAAGAATTTTGTCGAGATAAGAACTTTCGTGAAGTTTTTGGTTTTGCAGGACGACCAAAAACATATCCCAAGCTGGCAGCAGCAACAATCGAGCTAGAGGAAAAAACTAACTGTTTTTGACAAGAAAAAAAAAGTTTTCAAAAAAAAAAAAAAAAAAAAAATTTAATATAAATGGTCAGTATATGTTTAATTAATAAAAGCACGAGCTTGTGAAATTGGTAATCATATGTGCATGCAGTAATAAGAATATTTTGGTCGTTTCCACGTAACACTTTGGCATACTCTAGCATTTTATCAATAAACTCACCGAGCTAATGAAACTTTGGGATGACATGAAGAAAATGTTCTTAATATAGATTACAGTCAACTCTTCATATAACGAACCGGTACTTTTTATATTAAAAAAAAAAAGAACCTTATATATAGTAGAACTCTATAACAACAAATTCGCTATAGAGAGTTGACTGTACATGAGTTAAATAACCTGAGGTAGACAAAATATATAATAAAAAGAAACTCGACACGATTTCAGGAACTGAAACTTGAAAATTTTTTCTTGGGCTGTCAAAAATGAGCATTTTATAAATTAATTAACTCTATGAAAAAAAGAGGGGATAAATATTTAAGCGATAGACTAAAGTGAATTGGTAATCGGAAGATGATCGTGCGATTAGAAGATGCAAATCATTTCATTCGGCTTGTTATATTAATTCAATTAATGATAGAGTAATGATGAGCGGTCGATTTACTTTACTATTCATGTCGATTGAGTTTGAAAAATAATTTGTTCTGATATTGCAGACATGTGTACGTCAAGACTAACGGGGAAAATTCGAAGCTTATACATCTTTTGATAGTAATGCAATTACGTATATGCCCAAAAGTATATATTATTTTGATTCTTACCGTGATATATAAATGAAAATGTTTAAACACTGTCGATTTTTAAACGTTTTGCGCATCCAGACATAAAAGGAAAGGATTTTGGTTGTCGTTATTTTTTTTTTGAAATTTGAAAAAAAAATTTTATTAAAAAAAAAAAAAAAAAAAAATTGTAAAAAAGAAACGTTGCAAAAGAAAAGATGAAAAAAAAATGTAAAGGTGGGATTTAAATAAGTTCTCAAAAGTAAGGATCAAAATTTAAATATAGAAAACAACCGTCCTGAGAGCTGACGTGTTCGAAAAAACAAGAAACCTGCCAACTTTGAACTATTTTGGTTTTTTTTTATATATAAAAAAAAATATGTAGTATAAATTAACATATATATTGGTGATATCTGGTACTGCATTTATTGTCACGTATATTACTAATATGTGGATTTGAACCTCATGAAACCAAAAATGATTATTATTGGATATTAAAACATGCAAAAGGTTATTAGAATGTATGCTGTAAGTCATATGTTAATACAAGTGACGAATAAAACTTGTTTTTTAAAAAGGTCAGCTAAAACTCAATTATTAACAAAGTGGTGAATGTTGTAGCTGATTCAAGGAATTTAAAACAGTATTAAATAGTAATTGTTTAGAATCTATAAAATTATTCGCCGAGTTTTTTGAATCCTTACAGAAGAATTTCGAAGTATGAATAGTAGGAATGATGAAGACGTGTAGTACATACGTAAATGATGGGAAAAAATATCGAGAACATATGGTCAGTACACAACAAAAAAAGGGGCTTAGAACGCTGTCATGACAAGATCATGATTTAATTAATTAATACTGTATATCGATATCAGATCAATATTAGATTAATTAAATCATGATCTTGATCAGAACTAGATTAATCCTTGAAAACGCTCTTAAAGGACAAATTTTTTATTCGTTATATAATAATAATAATAACGTTAATGTTAGTATAAATTTTATACTTGTGAAAAATTAGGAAACTTATTTTATTCATAAAAATCTCGATTTTGTTCTGAAATCCCTAAACCCCTTTTGCAGTGTACTGATCCAATATTCACATTAAAACAATGGGTTCTTGAAATACTGAATAGAAGTCGGTATGACCATATTATGTAGGGGAATTTTTTGTCTTTGCTAACTTTATAACGCGTATTTAATAGGAATCTGGATGTTTAGTTCTATTTTTCGAGTGAATTATATTCATTATTATGCATATATTAATGAATGTAGACTACGATATACTTCTATTATTCTGTTTTGTTGACATAATATAAAAATAGATAAAGGAAAACGTTCTATATTCTAGATGCATACGTCAAATACTATATGAGGACACATGATCAATACTTGATTTTCAAGGCAAAGACCCCATATTTACTCTTACGATGAACATTAACGCGTAGCCGCAAACGAGTAATCCATCAATTTGGATAGTAATTCTTCGGTAATTAAGTACATGAAACATGTCTATTGGATATAATAATATGTTTAACAAGTCATGCATAATTTTAGTATTTGTTATTTTATTTATTATTATTCGCAAATCAACGACAAATAATAAATTGTTGTCAGATAAATATTTGTTATTACTGACCCATCAAATATTTTGTACTGCGTTACATACGTAACTGAGTAGAATGCTCTACATATTGTTCATTGATGACTTATTTAAATACGATCCGCAGTCTACGAGAAGAAGCCCTTTACGCACTTATAATATATAACGATAAATCTTCAGAAATCTTTAAACAGAAACAAATTATCGGAGTAGATCGGACTATATCAAAGCAGATCACGGACTTCTTTCTTTGGAGTTCCATATTGTATTAAATATGATGTAATTTAATTATGACTTGGCCAGGTTGGTGAACAATTATTATTCGTTATTAATAATTGATGTACGGTTTATCGTTATTTAGATGTTTTATATTTAATTATAAATATTTAATTACAAACATTTAGTTTAATATTAAGGACTCAATTATTTATGATAAATAAATTATTGTTATTATTGTTATTACCATTTTTATAAAACAAATAATTAATACGTACGTAATAAAAATATTCTTATTATTAATAAATATTTTTTATCGTTACGTATTGTAAAAATACAAAATTGTTTTTTTTTTAAAAGAAAACAAAATTTATATTATTAATATCTAATATAATGTTATAAATTTTTATATTAATTTAGGATTAGGATTAAATTTTATTATTACTTTTTGTATTAGTATAGTTTATTAGTTGATTAGCTTAGCATAAGAAAGATGACGGGAGTTTAATTACAAAGAATTGATTTTATATTCGCACTTATAACCTAATTTTATACCAGCTACAAAATTGAAGATATAATCGTTGTTTCCAATCTAAAATATAATATCAAAAAATTAATTGGAAATAAAAAGTACAATATCAATCAAATTTTATACCTATGACTTCCCACATTTTAGATGCCCAACGTGTTTCAAAATGCCTGTATGAACCTTGAATAACATATCATGAGACGATTAGAAGGGCATAGTACGTTGGGGATGTCTGTCAACTAAGTAAATCAAACTATATGTGGTCACTTATAATTTAACGTTAAGCTTATCGAATTCAAAATTAATCAGTGACGTATTATATATAGATACAGTCAACTCTGGATATAATGAACCAGACACACTATATAACGAACTTTTTTTTTTCAAATTTATTATAAATACGGTATATAAAATATAGCAAATTACTATATAATGAACTTTTAAAAATTTTTTATTATAAGACTCATCAGTTCATTATATAGAGAGTTGACTGTATAACCCAATTTAATAATATGGATATCTGTGCCGCACGACCAGGATGCAACCAGTAAACCTTTCTAATGAAGTATTAATCAAGGAATGATAGTCTTCCTTTATTATATATTATTATTTGAATCCATGATAACTTTAAAAATTCTTAATTAAATGATAAAGAATGTACAGTATATTTATAAATTTACATAAAATTTAAAGTGTATGATCTCATTTGGCAAATAAGTACAGCAACTAATAATTATCTACTATATTTAAAAATTAAATTCGTGGACTGATTCTAACTTTTAACTCTTTACAGTTATTAATAACTCCAATATTAACTTTTAATGGTTCATGCTCATTTACTAATTCAACGTTATAAAATTTATAGACTAATGCCATTAATGTAAGTAGTTCGATCATTGCTAACTTCCTTCCAGGGCATATTCGTGACCCCAAACCAAAGATTACCAAAGTGTTTTTATTTTCTACTCTTTTATCATCTTGATCACTATCATAAAACCTATCCGGATTGAAAACTTTCGGACTAGGCCAAACATCAGGACGACTATGCAAACCTACCAAATTCACTTGAAATGAAGTACCAGCTGCCCATTTATATCCAGCAACTTCAATTTCTTCAGTAATGTAGCGAGTTGTAATATTCGCTACTGGCATTATACGACTTGTTTCTTTAATTATAGCTTCACAATATTTTAGCTTTGAGAGATCATCATGTGTTACCTGACATTTATTCGAAGTTTTAGGGAAAATAGAGTCAATTTCTAAAAGCATTTTTTGCTTCAC